ATCAAGTAGCTTTTGGAATAAAACACCAATTTTTTTAAAATTAAACACTATCTAAAGATTTGCATCGAAGCGTTTATTTTTGATAGTGATTTTAATCACTGTCAGATATCATTATACTTGATCCAACTATACCACGTCACAACTGTGCCGCGACCCCCCTGTGCTGGGTTTTTTATTAAATATTCTTTAACATTAGATACTTAATTATATTATAATAATTGTCATTTACCAATATAAATAACATTTGTTCAAACGAAGCTCAATCTATGTTTGTGACATATGTAATATTTTATTTTAAATTCATAAATACACTTTGTGAATGTTTCAAAAAATGATATAGTCTCTTATATATTTAAAATATGTATAATGATTGTGTTAACGCCACAAAATGGTTCGTGTGTTATTTTATTACTGTTCTACTGGATTGGACTGTATAATATAAATTAAAATTCTCAACAATGTAATTTTATGTAATTAATATAAGAAATCATTTGTTAAACAATAAATATAAACTCCATAAAACTTCTAATTCACTAACACTGAGCAGAGATAGCGGACAGGTTACTAACTTAATGACAATAACATGTCTTAACAGATTGGATTAATATAATTTAAATACTACTAGAACATAATAACTTTCTTAAAATATTGGTAGTTTTGAACAATTTCATTTAAATGATAATATAATAACAAAAAAATATCAAATAATAAAAATATTGGGCTAGTGGAATATACAAAGTGATTCATTAAGGATAAGACATTCGTTTACTCAGACATTCGTTAACTATTGAAAATTTTTAATTTTAGGTAAGGAAAATAATTTTTGATTAAAAACACACTACAATAATATGTAGTAAAAACATGACCTTTTTCATCCCTTCAAGGTTAAAAAACATTAACCTGAGTTTTTTTAAATAAGAACACATATTTTGAATTTAATAAAATGTTTGAATTTTTAATTTAATAACAAATGGCATTCGAATTTTTAATATAACTTTATTCGTTTATAAACATTTTAAGTTTCAAATTTTTGAGTTAATATACATGTATAATACACTAGGGATTAGAAAAACAGGTAGCTAATTGGTTTTTTATGACATTACTGTCACAGATTGTTTAATATCAATTATAACTATCAATAGATATACTTTCTGTATTGTCAGTTAGTGTATTTATAAACTCACAACAATGTGCCTTACTACCATTGATAATAACAATACTGTGTACCTGCTAATATCCATGTCATATAAAACCAATTAGCTACCTGTATTTGTAATCCCTAGTGTATTATACATGTATATTAACTCAAAAATTTGAAACTTTGAATGTTTAAATCTAATAAACGAACCAAGTTATATTAAAAATTCAAATGCCATTTACTATTAAATTAAAAACTCAAATATTTTATTAAATTCAAAATATGTGTTCCCATTTAAAAAAACAAAGTTGACACCCTTACCAGGCATAAGGGATGAACTTAAAAAGTATTACATAATTAATAATTCAAAAATGATGTGTAACTAAAGATAATCGAAAAAAAAATTTTTAATTTATTATTATTCTGTAAGTAATTGAGTGGGTTATGATAAAAAAATCAGCCTGTATTCATATAAAAAATACTAATAAAATTTTTAATATCCTGGAAACATTTTGACAATATTTATAAGTCAACAGAAATTGTGTTAAAAAATATTTTAAAATCATATTAATAATGTAGTATACTCTAAGAAATAATCCTATATTCTCAATAATAGTAGGTAGTATTATAAATATACACCTTATATTTACTATAATAACATAAAAATCCTACCCAGCACTGTGAGGTCGCAGCAAAGTGAGGACGTGGCATAGCTGTGTGGTACAGTGTGTACAGTATAGATTTAATCTGACAGTGATTAAAATCAATATTATAAGAAACACTTCGATGCAAATCTGTAGATAATGTTTAATATTTTGAAGGGATTTCTGAATTATTCCAAAAACAACATCAACTTCTATTTCCTTAATTACAGGCTGATTATTAGTGCTTTGATTTCTAAGTATAATATAAGAATCAATACTAATTATAGTAATTACATTTAGTACGAAATTGATAATTTCCTATTTCCTTATTAATATACAGATTACAAGTTTTATGATTTATAAGGGTAATATATGAATAAATATATTACTCTAATAATATATTACCCTCGCAACAACCACAAAGAAATAAACATAATTTTTTTTTAAACTAAAACCTTAGATAATTTTCTTTCATTTGATATAATTTTTTTAAAAATTTAACACTTAGGCTGCTCATGGGGGGAGATTTAAAATTGCAACTTTTTTACAAAAAATAACTTTTTCAACTTAATTTTTGAAAATGTTCCGGAAATACTGCATCCTTTAAACATATATAAAATTAAAGCTTATTTTATGTACTACAAAATGAAAAAAAAAAAAAACCCAGCACAGTGGGGTCGCGGCATAGTGGGGATGTTGCATAGTTGGGTCCAGTATAGATTTAATCTGACAGTGATTAAAATCACTATCATAAGAAACGCTTCGATGCAAATCAGTAGATAGTGTTTAATTCTAAGAAATTGGTGGATAATTACAAAAGCTACATTATCTGCTAGTTTCTTATTAATACCCTGATTAAGATAAAGTATGTCGAATGAAAAAGGGATTATTAAAAAATATTATTTCTCATAAAAAAATTGTGTTGATTCGTACACTTTTCAATGAGTTATAGCATTATAAAGTTAAAAATGTAACCAACCCAACCCAACATCAACTCCTATTTCCTTAATTATATCCAGATTAGTAATTATTTTAATTATATATTATATAATTTTTATAATTAATTATTTTCAAATTATTATTGATTTTTAATATGTTAAAAGTAATCATTTTGAACCTACTTCTTTTTGTT